AACATTTTAAAACGTGCATACTGTAGTTTCCGGAAGCGTCTAACTACAGTCGTCGAAAGGGAAGGCAATTTTTTTGAATAAATTTACTTACAACTTCCATATGTTGCGAAAGAAAATAAATCGCACAAAATTCATTGCTAGAATAACTAACTGGTGTATTTTTTCTCAAATAAGGGAATTTACGTATTCTCGGCAACCTAAGCAGCGACCTTTTTTCTATAGCCTTTTTCTATATGGAACGCACACATATGCAGTATTGGTTTGTTTACAATCTTTTGCTGCCAGCTGCTCCAACAATTTCAGTCGAAAGAACTGCCAAAAACTGTTTTGAAACGCTTTTACAAAGCTCCAATCTTCTCTAGTGAGAGCGAGTATTGTCGGCAACCAGTTTTTCTTCGGCAACCGTTCCATTTGAACTGCATGCAAATCTGCTGTTCTATTATCGGCAACTCAAAATCAGCTACAATTTGTAGTGCGTGTGTTTCATTTCAAGAAAACCCTGCTAGATTGCTTTTTCTCAGTGGTAAAAATATAGTCAAATTGAAGCTGAAAGCATAAAGAATCGTTTGCATGCATTCAGCGAAGTGTTTTCGTAAGAAAATCCAGTGAAAATAGTGTTTCAATTTGGGTTGCCGAAAATAGTCTGTCATGCCGAAGCCGTCATTTCCCCTATGCCATTTACTGCAAAAATTCGTCACGCACCCTGTACAATACAACCTTTCCACACCTTCTATAGACAGGTTAAGCCTTGATAGCTAGCTGTTTGCGGGAACTGATGACCTTGACAAATGTCCAAATAATACTCTTTAACAAATTTGTGGTGGTCCTGAAAAGGACTGTTTAGTCGTGATGGTTGAGTAATGCTGAGCTATTAGGGTGTTCAACCTCATCCGTGGCGATCTGTTAATTGTTTGGAGCAAGGTTGACGCACTAGGCATTGATGACCCACAGCTACTCACGAGGAAACTGATTTCGATCGCGGTGCGGCTTCTTCTTCCTTCTATGGATGCTCGCTGCTTTCAGGATGCCTTTCGTGGTGTACAGGATAACGATGTTCAACGCCACACGCCCAAAGCACTGCTGCTATTGATGCTGCTGCTGCGGACACCGTCGACCGGACACCACCACACACGGTGATTAAATGAGCACCGTTCAGTGAGACAGGATCGAATTCGATTTTTAAATCTGTGTTAGGGAATGCGCTGTTTGCAGATAATCGGTGATAATTTCGATCACCATTGCAACAGTTGGACATTTGTGTATTTTTCAATAGTGACCTATTGAAAATTAATAAAGTGTTCAATTTAGCAGATTGGTATATAAATTCCCAATTCTTTGGCTTGTTTAGAATTAAAATTCATCTGCTATTGACAGAGGTATATGTGGTCAAAACCTGACCTATTTTCGTCCCGCGGTCCATTTTGGTTTTTTTTTAAATTGCACGCCCAATATGTTGCCGAAAGACGTAATCCTACGTCAAAAAAAACAAACGGTTGCGTCCTCTGCGTAAGATGGCCGAAAGACGAAAAAGAAGGAATGGATGGTTTGGCCTTCAAAAAAAGCTAAGTACAATAGTTTTGTGTTGCGTTAAATGTAGAGGGTGCGGGTTTACTCGGGAATGGGATGCAGATTTTCCGGAAAAGCTGCAGCAATGTGAGTGACGTTTTCTCGAATTTGGGTGGAATTTTGCTCATTTGTATGTGAATACACTTTTTGCGCTTTTTGAGTGAACTGATATGAGCACACTGATAAAATTTCAAAGATTATTTTTATATGTCCCATACATGAATTTTTGAAATGTGATCAACGAATTATATCTATTTGTCGGACGCATACTTAATATGTGTACACATAAAAGCCATGTGTAACCAAACATACTATTCTTTTGACTAATAAATTTTGTGTGTGCTTCTGGGTGGATTCTGTTTATGTGTGGTCACATAAAAAAATCATGTGGAATTTCACAAGTCTTTGACAGCTTAACATTATTGGTTTTTAAACAAAGGTGCATCCTATATCAACACCCTAAATTATGTCGGTGTACGGCAGTGTAGCACCGCAAAAACGAAAACGAAATAAATTTCGTATAATTTAAGTGCATCACATGAACTTAAGTTTACTTTAATTGATTATGATTCAAATTGAAAAAAAAAAACATAGAGGTTTTGGCCCTACGAGAGAAGAGGTAGTAAAATTATTTTCACTCCCGCGAGTTTTCCTCTCAATCAATAGAAAAAAAGATAAAACACAACATATTTCCTTCCTTTTAATTAGCTACGGGTGTGACAACGATGGCGAGTTCACTATGTTATATTTTCATTTTATTTCAGCAACCTTATCTTCCAGCAGATGATCCGGACAGCAATTTCAACATTTATAAAAAAAAAACTACATATGCCAGCAACACTGACTGGGTGTATCCTATGGCTTACCTTCCCTACTAACATAATTCCTAAATTCCCGAGACATTTATGAGGGGTCGTAGAGTTCTCTGCATCTCTCTTAAGTAAATGTTGGACTAACATACCTTTCCTATCCCTACCAGTTGTAAGGACGTGGCCCGGACAATCCTTAACTGTTGGAGCGGGATATGTATTTATCTGGGAGATAGTAATTACTTCCTACTTACTATCTGTCCAGTAATAGATATCCGTCTTGCTCTTAATAGTTTTGAATTCGTACCACCTACGATATTGTGCAACTTGTTCGATGCTAATGCTAATGCTAAAATTTCAGTTAATAGTATTAATTAATTTGATAAATTGAACGACGATTAATTTAAGAATGAATATTTGAAAATAAATAAGAAAAAGTAGGGTTGGTTGGGAATGCTAACATGAAGCTTTAGTGTGATGATTTATTAGCTAGAGAATGAACTTTAGAAGAGGGTAGGTGGATAGTTCCGTTAGAGTACGGCAGTATGAAAATTGAATAGAAGCTGAAAATGAGCGAAGGGCCATTAATGCGATAGTTTTTTTTTAAGATCGACGCACATTTTTGCCTAACCCGTACGATGTACGCGGGGACTTGAAATATGTCTCCAAGTCCACAGGCAAAAATGTGCGTCCCTCTTTTTGCTCATAAACTGATTGCGGCTGTGGAATAGTTCTAGCGACGTTTTCATCACTACCTAAAGCCCCACGTTGCGAGAGCATTTCCAGTCGATGGTGTGTTATAATGCAGTTCACTCATTTTCAACTTCTATTCAATTTTCATACTGCCGTACTCTAACGGAACTATCCACCTACCCTCTTCTAAAGATTATTCTCTAGCTAATAAATCATCACACTAAAGCTTCATGTAAGCATTTCCAACCAACTCTGAAAATCGTTAACTTCGCGTATGAAGTAACATAAAAACACTTTGAAAGAAAAAGTAGCATATTTATAATTTAACGGAAATTGTCTACTGTTACAATGTTTCGTACAATTAACGAAACAATTATTGTTTTATCAACGAATCACATGTTCATGAAGTAAGCGTTAGAGAATTAACGAAAAAAAATTCAGTGTATCAACAACTGATGTTTTGGTTGTTGTCATAGAAACAACATATTAAATTTAAGGACAAGTAGAATCAAAGTTAAGGCGATATGTGAATTTTAAAATTCATAGTTATTCCGGTACATTTTTCAAACCATTTTCGCCACTTTCATATTTTTTGCACAGGCTCATATTTTGGAGTTTTGAATCGAACTGGATGGTGACCTATAAGGAATTTAAAACAAATTGGAGCACCTTACTGTAGATACATCAAAGATCGGTGAGATAAAAATGTTAAACTTGAATTAGGGATCTTGTGTACGAAATCAGTTACATTCCAAATGCCAAAGTTTAAAGATATTTCAATTTTGCAACTATCATCGAACTTTTGCCCCACCTTACTCTATGTACCGTTGGATTAGGTGAAGAATCACAGCTTTTTACCCTTCTTACAAAGAAGGGTATAGATATCACTTGAAAAACCGACTATCGATCCGAGGCCCGGAGGGCCGAGTGTCATATACCATTCGACTCAGCTCGACGAGATCGGAACATGTCTGTGTGTGTATGTGTGTATGTGTGTATGTGTGTAACGAAATGAATGCGCTCACGTTTCTCAGCAACCGCTAAACCGATTTGGACAAACTCGGCGCCAAATGATAGGTCTTGGGGTCCAATTGAACGCTATTGAACGGTTTTGGAATCGGTGAACCGGTTCCGGAGATATGGCCGGAATAAGATCAGGTGAATATGGACCTTCACGCTGGATTTAACGGAAAACGTATCAAAACCATCATGCGACACATCAAATTACTACAGAATTCAAAAATAAGATCAATGCAAGTCGTGTTAAGTGTTCCAGACCACATTGGACACACTTGGACATGTTCCGGGTACCCCGGGGAAGTTGCTTGAATATGAATTGAATTAAAACCCATTAAATCACATTAAAATACGATGATAAGGTGATTGGTAGCCTCACCAAATAGACTACACCCGGATATATTCCGGGTACCCCCAGGCAGTGGCGTAGCGTCACTGGATGACACGGGGGTGGGGGGCTTGGTCACTGATAATGAGAATAAAATAAATAAACTTGAATAAGTAAGAAGGGTCTGATCACACCATAGGTGGATAAATTCGGGTTTTTATGTTTTGTTAAAGCTACAACATTGATTCTTCATTCCAAATTCGTCCTACGAATTTCAATTCCGGCTATATTTCTCCCAATGAGATCCCATTTCCAGTAGCATGTTATACTTAGCACAGTCCTCGTCAATCAAAACAAACGGGTGCATCGCTAGTTGCTGTAAGCTTAAAGTACGCCAGCCAAACGTGTTCACATTTGCGAAGACCTTCTCGTGGCTTGTTATATCGAATCGACGTCGCCGTCGTCGTTTTCTTCACCACCGTCGCCTCCGTCTATGGGGGTCCCCGCGTGCATGTGGCCAACATCCAGTGCCCAGGTGGTTGCTGGTAGGTAATATCGCTCTTCAACCGAGCTCAACCAAACGGCCTTTCAGTCTTTCGGCGTTTGCTCGAAGGTGAACACCACCTGTTGCTCCGGCTCGGGTGTTTGAGTTTGTTTTCGTTGGATTTTTCCTCCGCGTGATATAATTCGCTGCTTTGCTAACCGGCCAGCGCTATCCACGGTACGGGATCCTTGCCTCTCTCCCCCTCACGAGGCCACAGCGTGAGTGCTCGCGCGACGCGGGTCTAATCAGCAAACGGTGACGTCGCCTTTGGGGGGATTTTTCTCATCTCGCGCTCGTCGGTGAACAGTGCTTCGCTTTTCGGGATTTTGTTTTGCTTCTCATTTTCCGTTTAATCATTCAATTATAGTTAATTTGCTTGGAAGATTGCCGTGAAGAGTGAATGAGGAAGAGAGCACAAAACAAAAACAAATCGGTAATCAATTTCCTGATGTTCGATTGCTGGATTAGTGAAGCTTCCGAAGATTGTGTGAAAAGATTGTGAAGATCTAGAGAAGTGTGATCGTAAGAAAGCTTTGGTCGTCAACTGCTTAACAGCATTTGTGAAGATTCTCAGTTACTAGCCTAATAGATGCTTAAAATGACTTAGTGGATTACCTAGGAATTTAGGTTGGTGGATAAGCGTGAAAAATATGCGTTCTTAAATGGTATATAAAGCTGTGAGGGACGATCAATGCAGAGAGAATCAAAGCTTATAAGAAGTGTCGAGTTGTACAGTGCGTGAGTGGGACAATTTTTACGGATTTATCGCGGGAAGCCAAATTTGAATGTCAGGAGGATTTACTGGCGCTGCTGTCTTGCTGCGTTGTCATCCGACCGGTCAACGACGCCAGTTACGTTTTGAGCTGGTGTGAAGAAATCTGATTAATTACTATGCATGCTGCCGCCTGTATGTCAGGTGTGGAGTTCTGTCGCGTTTGAATACGAGACCAGAGTGCTGGTTGAAGTGGCCTGCAGAACATATTGAAAGCGTGTTAGCGCCGAGAAGACGTTGGAATTGTGTCACGTATTGCCGTACTGCTCTGACCCAGGTATTGTTTTGCGATAAGAATATGTAACAGTTTATTTTTCTACTCGAGAGCTCTAACGGCACTGGCTAATAAAGTAAGTGAAGCACGTTTTGCGATCGGAGAAGCAGATTTAGAGTTGACTGCCAATTGTAGGGTCTTGGAAAAAAGTTTGTTAACAATCCAAATAAGATTTTATGTAACTTTTACGATCTTATTGATGCTACCACAAACAAAAGAACGTTAAATTATGGAATGCGGCGTCTGAATGACACCGTGACTTATTCCGTATTTATGTTTTTGAGTAGAACGTGCCTTTTATAGTTAGTTTTGGAAATGTTGTGTCATGGAATAATAATGATAGCACTACTTCATTCTTTTTTGACGAATTTAATGCTTTCGGCACAAAACATATTTCCTTGTTTGATATCAAAGTTGGTTTCCCTTCACTACAACGTGAATTTATGCCGTTCGACACATTGTCATCAGTTTTCATGAAATCGTTATAAATTGTCTGAAATACAAACCTATCCGGGTTGTACAATAAACTCGTTCGTGTTTCCGTAGCCTGATCGTCACTTCTTCTTTCTAGCTATTACGTACCAGCTGGCATTTTCACATGTTATTAACTCAGTGTTCTTCGAGCACTCCCATAGTTGTTCGTTGAAGGCATCTTAAGCTTAACACTTTTTTGCATTCTTATGATTTGTGTGGCAAACTACCAAGGTATGAATCCGGAAAAACGGGACACTCGAAACCAAACAAAATCTTTTATATGATTTTCAATTCTGCTGGGTCTACATTTCATTTAACAAACGAACTTATCAAAAACATACAAAATATCAAAAACATTAGTTGAAAACCGATCCGTGAGGTTTTGTAAAACTCCTCCTTGTCACTGAGGTGTACCAAGAAGCTATAATATCACATGATACACACATTAAATCTAAGGCCCGAAGGGCTAACTGTCATACCAATCGATGAAGCTCGACGAGATTGGAAACTGTCAGTGTGCTTACCGTCTTCAGTAATTGTTACGGAATTTTGAACAGCTAAAAATTCATTAGTTTCAAAGATTCAAATCAAAGAAAACTGCACCACAATGGCAATACTCGATTGTTTAAACAAGTGTTATATTAACACTCCGAATACGATGGCTCCGAAAAACGTGTAACGGAAAGTTTGCAACTTAGCCATTTCTTAATGGATTGCGGTACCTTCAGAATTTCTAGGGTTTGTAGATGATTTTGGTTGTAAAAAAAAATGAAAATAGAGTCGTCTACTTTTTTAAAAAGCGAAAAGAGTTGTAACACGTTTTTTTTAAAGGTGTGTTTGTAGGGTTTTGCAAATGTTCACAATTAGCCAGAATACAGTCATGGTTCCTATATATGGATCCTGGAGACAACGGAACGGTCCTCGAAAAATCCAGAACATACGTAAAAGTGGTCAATTCATGAACCTGATCCTAGAGCTCTGCGGTTTTTTTGAAAACATTAGGAACTGTGATATAAAAAAATATTTGGGGTCGTGACATAAACATGTACCTTGATGACAATGGGACCGTCCTCCGGAAGATCCGGAACATCCGTAAAAGTGGTCCATCCATGAAACTGATCCTAGAGCTCCGTGTTTTTTTTTTAACATTAGGATCTGTGATATAAGAATGAATTTGGGTTATGGACCCAGATGGCCCGTGGAAAATCTGGAACATTCGTAAAAGTAGTAAATCCTCTATCCTGATCCTAGAGCTCCGCGTTCTTTTTATAAACATAAGGAACTGTGATGATAGAAAGAATTTGAGGTTGTGACATAAACATGAACCTGAATGTCCATAGGACCGTCCTCCGGAAGATTCGGAACATCCGTAAAAGTGGTCAATCCATGAAACTGATCCTAGAGCTCCGCAGTTTTTGAAAAACACTAAGAACTGAAATGATAGAATGAATTTGGGGTCGTGCTATAAACATGGACCTTGATGGCCATGCGACCGTCCTCCGGAAGATCCGGAACATCCGTGAAAGAGGAAAATTCACAAAACTGATCCTAGAGCTCCGTGGTTTTCTTGAAAACGTTAAGAACTGTGATATTTGCATTAAATTTAGGGTCGTGACATAAACATGGACCCAGATGGCCATCGGACCGTCCTCCGGAAGATCCGGAAAATCCGTTAAAGGGGGAAAATTCATGAAACTAGAGCTCCATGGTTTATTCGAAAACACTTGAAACTGTCATATATAAATTAATTTGCGGTCGTGACATAAACATGTACCTAGAAGGCCATCATACTGTCCTCTGCAAGATCTAGAACATCTTTAAAAATAGTCAATCCTCGAAACTGATCCTAGAGTCCTACGGTTTTTTCGAAAGCATGTGGAACTGCGATATACGAAAGAATTTGGGGTCATGACATAAACATGGACCCAAACGGCCTTGGGACCATCCTCTGGTAAGTCCAGAACATCCGTACAAGAGGTCAGTCAATGAAACTGATCCTAGAGCTCCGCAGTTTATTTTTCTAAAAACATTAGGAACTGTGATATAAGACAGAATTTGTGGTCGTGACAAAAACATGTAACTAGATAGCCATGGGACCGTCGTCCGGAAGATCAACAACATTCTTAAAATGGTCACTCCATAAAATTGAGAGGTGAAAGCATTACTATGACGAGCACCTCAACGGTGATGCAGTAGAAAACAAATGTGGCACGGCAACAGACCTTGGAGCACGCGCAGAAGACGGCAGGCTTCCGGCCTCTGATCTTCAAGAAGTTTAGGAGGAGATCGGTCGGCTGAAGAACAACAAAGCAACTGGTGTAGATCAACTACCAAATGAGTTATTTAAATACGGTGGTGAAGCACGGGCTAGAGCGCTGCTCTAGGTAATTGCCAAGATTTGGGAGGAGGAGATATTACCGGAAGAGTGGATGGAAGGTGTCACATGCCCAATCTACAAAAAGGGCGACAAGTTGGATTGCTGCAACTACCACGCGATCACAATGCTGAGCGCCGCCTACAATGTACTTTCCCCTATGCCGCCGCCTGTCACCATTTGCAAAAGAGTTCATGGGGCAATACCAGCCGGGATTCAAGGGAGCCCGCGCTATCACGGCCAAATTTGCCACGAATACAATGTGCCCACACATCATTTGTTCATCGTTTTCAAATCCGCATACGCCACAATCGATCGAGATCATCTATGACAGATTATGCACGAATACGGATTTCCGTATAAACTGACGCGATTGGTCAAGGCGACGATGGATCGAGTGATGTGCGTTGTTCGAGTATCGGGAACACTCACGACTCCCTTTAAATCTCGAAGGGGGCTACGGCAAGGTGATGGACTTTCGTGTCTGCTATTCAACATGGCGTTAGAAGGTGTGATCAGAAAAGCAGGGATAGACACGAGTGGCACGATCTTCAGGAAGTCCATCCAGCTTCTTGGCTTCGCCGATGACATCGACATCATGGCACGGAACTTTGAGACGATGGCGGAAACGTACATCAGACTGAAGGCTGAAGCTAGACGGATTGGACTTGCCATCAACGCATCGAAGACAAAATACATGAAAGGAAGAGGTTCAAGCTGGTCGATGAGTTCGTGTATTTGGGCAAACTGGTGACCGCCTAAAATGATACCAGCAGAGAAATTCAAAGAAGCATAATGGAAGGGAATCATGCCTACTTTGGACTCCGGAGGACGCTCCGGTCGAATAAAATTCGCCACGAAGTTGACTATCTAAAAGACGCTGATTAGACCGGTGGTGCTCAACGGCTTCGATACCTGGACTATGCTCGTGGAGGACAAACGCGCCCTTGGTGTTTTTGAACGGATGGTGTTGCGTACGAGGGGCACGCACTAGTCTTTCAATACTACACAGCCTGCTGACCAAATATTTAAAGTCTTGCCATTACTGCATTAAATACTTTAAATACACTCTTAATTTCAACAAATACTGTAATTAATCTCAAAATTTTATATATTAATTATTTACAATATAGTTAAATTATTTGTCATTACATAAATTATCGTTTATTATTTGTTAATTACTTTGAATATCGCTGGAAGTATTTAAATTCAAATTATTACTGTCTTCAAAGTATTTAAATTACTACGATGTAATTTAAATATCACGCACTTATAACTGGAAGGGCGCGCCCCTCGGTTGCATACAATCTACGGTGGAGTGCAGATAGATGACGGAACGTGGAGGTGGCCAATGAACCACGTAATTCACCAGTTGTTGGGAGAACCATCCATTGTCCACATTCCAAATTGGGCGACTACGGTGGGCTGGGCATGTTGTAGGAATGTTGCACGACGACCCAGTGAAAATGGTTCTCGAAAGCGACCCAAAAGGAACAAGAAGAAGAGGCGCACAGCGGGCAAAGTGGATCAACCAAGTAGAAGGAGACCTGCGGACCCTTCGCAGACTACGAGACTGGCGAAGTCTGGCCATGGATTGAGTAGAGTGGAGACGACTTCTTCAGACAGCAGAGGTCAACAAGGCCTTAGCCCGATTGCAAGCAAGCAAGCCATAAAATTGATCCAAGAACAAAAAAAATCGTGAAACTGTGATATAAGAATGAATTTGACAGTCCGAATGACCATGGGACAGTCCTCCGGAAGATCCGTAAAAGTGGTCCATCCATGATACTGTTTCTAGAGCTCCGTAGTTTTGTCGAAAACACTTCGAACTGTGATACATGAAATAACTTAGGGTTGAGTCATCAACATGAACCTGGATGGCCATTGGACCGTCCTCCAGAAGATCCGGATCATCCGTAAAAGTGGATCATCCATGAAACTGTGATAAACCATGGTTTTTGTTTTTCGAAAACTCTTGGAACTGCGATTTAAGATAGAATTTAGGGTCGTGACATAACCATGTATCCGTATGGTCATGGGACTGTCCTCCAAAAGATCCGGAACATCCGTAAATTTGTCATACTGTGAAACTGATTCTAGAGCTATGCAGTTATTTTTAAACATTGTGATATAAGAAACCACTGAATCACTTTTA